TCCCAGCCATGTGCTAGCCCTGAGGCATGTGTGGGGCAGTGTCTATGGGTTTAGGCCTGGCTGGGTGGGGGTGTTCTCCCTGCCTGGGGTCTCTGCCCCTGAGCTGTTTGTGATTTTGGTGCTGCAGGAGGGAGGAGGGGTGGTTATTCCAGCTCCAGTGGCAGGAGCCTGCAGCCTGTGGGACAGTCAACACCATGGACTTGGATATGAGCAGCAGTAAATGACAAGTAGTAATTTCCTAGTTGCAGGGAGGAGTATAGATCTGTCCTGCAGTTAAAATATTCATCATTCGAGTTGTCAAATGGTTCCTATGATTTACATTTTCAGGGGACAGAAGTGCAGATAACGCTGTTGAAGGATAATTCAATGTGCTTAAAACATGAGAATTCCTCAAGGTGTCTGTCCCTTGCTGTGCTGTCAGCTGGGGTGGACTGCTCTGTCCTGAGCTGCTGCTGGGCCTCCTTAAGCAGAGCATCAAAGGCAGTGCTGGCAGACAGCTCAGGCAGACACTGTAGGTTCAGGTCAAGATGCATGTGTCTGCCTTTGAATGTGTAAATTGAAAATCTGAAAAAATCAGTGTACATGGTTATCTTTTCACTTCTCAGCTTCAGCTGGGGTTCATCTGTGCTGGTTTTGGTATTGCTGGGTTTAAGTGTGTCTGTTGTAGATGATGTCTAGCCTTGAGTTTTGCCTTCCTGCCTTCAATTTGTATTACTGAATTTCTGTATCAATGTCTGTTCTGTTGCTGTTATTGCTGAGTGCTGGGATTTTAAAGGCTAGAAGATACTTGTTTAAATTAGAACCATGCAGAGCGGGTTCTTGGGTATCTTACTGTTTTTTCCATTCCAACAGTTCTGGCTGCAGCTGCTTCTGTACAGCCACTTGCAACACAGTGCTTCCAGCTTTCCAACATGTTTAATCCTCAGACGTAAGTGGTTTACCATTATTTGGCATTTGTGATGATGTTAACATGTGAGAAAGGAATCAGAATGCTGCAAGTAGTTGTTTGATTAATTTCAGGGTGGATTTCATCCCAGTGATCTCTGTTTTTCCTTCCCCCCTGCAGTGAAGAAGAAGCTGGCTGGGACACAGAAATTAAAGATGATGTGATTGAGGAATGTAACAAACATGGAGGAGTTATCCACATCTATGTAGACAAAAACTCAGCTCAGGTAGGCTGGTTCTGGGGACACTGTGCAGGTGCGAGGAGTTCTGTTGCTGTGCAGTGTCTAGAAGGAGCATTGCAAACACTTCTTTTTTCCTAAATGGAACCTGAATTTCTTGGGTTCACTTTGCAGTTTGTGCACAGAGCAGGTGTTCCCTCCTGTGTTTGACTGATGTGGGTATGAGCAGTTTGCTGGTTCTGCTTCTGTGGATTTACCCAGCTGAAGTTCCTCTGGAAATAGAGGCTGAAGAGCAGTGACCACTTCAGTTCAGGCATTTGGCTTTTGCCTTAAGCTGTCCATTTCCCATAACTCAAGGACTTCAAGTTTCCTCTTTCTAGAGAGCACAGGCTTCAGAGCAAAGGGCCCTCACCCCCCAGACTTGAGGTGTGCAGGTGAATGTGTCCCTCAGCCTGTGCTTGGGAGCAGCTGTGGTCACTGCTCTTGCTGAAGCTTTGCAGTGTGAGCGGTGTCGGGCCTGGAGTTAGAAGAAACAGAGAGGCTGCAGCTGCCAACTGAATTGCAGGTTGTATACCTGCATCTTAAACAGGGGAACGTAGTTTTCTTCTGTCTTACAGTTTCATAGTATGTTAGGGGGTTGGAATGGACCTCAGAGACCATCCAGCTCCAACCCCTGCCCTGGGCAGGGACACCTCCCACCAGAGCAGGTTGCTCAAGGCTTTAGCCAACCTGGCTGTGAACACTGCCAGGGCTGGGGCAGCCACAGCCTCCCTGGGCAACCTGGGACAGTGTCTCACCACCCTCACACCAAAAACTTCTGCCTGAGATCTAATCTTAATTTTCCTCTTTCAATTTATTCCCATTACTCCTTGTCCTGTCCCTGCAGTTCCTAGCACAGAGTCCCTCTGCAGCTTCCCTGGAGCCCCTTCAGCTCCTGGCAGGTTGCTCTGAGGTCTCCACACAACCTTCTCTTCTCCAGGCTGAACAGTCCCAACTCTCTCAGCCTGTGTTTGTATGGAAGGTGCTCCAGTGCTCTTCACTGTGTTTACACAGTCTCCAGACTGTTTACCTCTTCCCTGTATTTCAGCTCTTAGAATATAAACTGTGGAAGGTCTGTAAAGAGATTTGACCTTCTCCAACTCCTTTTATACAGAGTTCACAGCCCAAACTGCAGTTCAGTTTTCAGGTGGTCTCACAGTTAGGTAATTTCTCGCCGTCCGGCGCTGGATGTGTCATGCTGTGGTGAGGGTGCAGCCCACGCTGCTGGTGCTGTGCTCAGCTGGGACTGCTGTGCCCTGGTGATGCACTTGGTGCTCACAGACCATCACTGTCTGTGCGCAGCTGCCACAGAAACCTCTTGTCACCTGAAAGCCTTTCTGACCCCTGACTGCTGCACGTTGTGCCTTGCAGGGCAATGTGTACGTGAAGTGTCCCTCGATCGCCGCGGCCATCGCGGCCGTCAATGCGCTGCACGGGAGGTGGTTTGCAGGTGAGTGCTCCTGCACACCTACACTTAGTCATCCCTTGCAGAAATGACCAGATACTGACTTGTGGCCTCTTTCTTTCCATGCTCAGGTAAAATGATTACAGCAGCCTATGTACCTCTTCCAACGTACCACAGCCTTTTCCCAGACTCCATGACTGCAACTCAGCTACTGGTTCCCGTTCGACGATGAAGATTAATTTAGTCAGTTTTGTACATAGGTATTTTTTGGAGGAAGATTGAGTTATCTTTTATTTAGATAAAACTAAAGGAAAGGATTTAATGTCATTTTGTGTACACTTCCTGCTACCTTTAAAAATAAAATGAAGTAAGCAGAAATGCAGTGTGTTCATTCTCCCTAACTAGCATTTCCACTGTATACAAAGCTGTTGACTTCTTGTTCTGCCTTGTAATTCTTGTACATTGACTAAGTTGATCTGTAGGAACTGAGAAGTAGCTCATAGATAACAAGTTCTCTGTAAAAGGCAGATGGGACATAATGAAATTTTTAATGTTTCACGAGCCTTTCTTTTAATGCAGCAAAGACATTTTACATTTCACTAAATGTAGGTGACTGCTCAAGGGGAATATCAGATAGACTGGATGGAGGGACATATTTAGTGTTTTGTATAAATGGAGAATCCAAAAGGCTACTGGAAGCTGACCCTGGACAGCTGCTCAGCTCGTTTTGTGCTGAATACTTTGTAAGAATAGAAGGATTGAAGGGTTTTATTTCTTGATGGTAACTTTTGATTAATGTATCTGTAAAAGTTTCTTTGTAAATACTGTGAGGTGTGTCTAAGTTTCCAAACAAAACGATCTCTGCATTTCCAGATGAGTTTCTGTGTGTGCAGTGGGGCAGAGCTGAAGGACTTCAGCCAAGTCTGAAGATGGGTAGGAAATACAGAAACGTGTTTTGTTCTGGTTGCATATAATCTTTGCTCTTTTTAAGCTCTGTGAGCTCTGAAATATATTTTTGGGTTACTTCAGTGTGTTTGACAAGACAGCTTGATATTTCTATCAAACAAAGACTTTCATATTGCAACAATCTTTGTAAGAACCACTCAAATAAAATTCTCTTAAAAAGGCCTTCATGCAGCTTTATTGTTCTGCTCTCCCAATGTGACTTAAGCAACGGGTGCTGAGGCCTGGAGATGAGTGCTGGGTGTTGTGTCAGGGCAGATGTCTGGAATACCACTGCATGGGGTACCAGGGATACCACATGCAGAAACTGGTTCTTGCTGTTCCAGCCCTCTGTGCCCTGCAGCCCAGGTTGGTGAGCACCTGGGGCAGCTCCTGCCTGCTGCAAGTTCAGGCAGAGATCACTCTGTCCTAAGGGGTTGGGTCCTGTGCATGGAGGAATCAGTTTCATTTGGCTTTCAGTCTGGTTTCTGGAGGGAGCTTTGCCCATCCTGCCTGGCCATTTCCACCCCTAGAAGCTGTTTGTGCAAGGTGGAGAGTGCAGGGAGAGAACGTTCCTCGTGGGTGGGTGGAGGTGGGGCAGGCAGTGATGGTGTTCCCACAGCACTGTGGGCACGACCTGCTCTCTCCAGCTGCTGGAGGTGGTGTGGCTGTGCTGCAGCAGGGCAAGGGACTGCTGTCAGCAATACAGGAACTGGGAGCAGGTGACTGGAGGCAGCACAAAGGGGTGGAGGGTCTTGGGAGTATGTGGCACAGCTGAAGACAGACAAGCTAGGTGTGCTTGAGCTTAGTTCTTTAGCTGCCAGTATTAATTCCCCCAGTGCAGGCTGGAATAAAACTGGAGCTGCTGTGCTTGGCTGAGCCCCATGGCAGCAGGCTGAGAACAGGCACTTAGTGTTCTGTGCCTTGAAAACTGGGGAAAAGGCACTTGCAGCAGGTCAGGGCTGTACAGGTGCCGGTTTAGGTTGTCCTGCTGCTTACCTGTCCTAGAGGAGGAGCAGCTTTGGCTCAATGGGAGACAGCAGTATCAACAACCCTTCCCTAGGTTAGGAACAGGCTCTTGGTGGGATCACAACTCCTACAGGACCTGCATCAGTCCTGGGGGTCCCTTTTTCTCTGAGGGTATCTGCCCTGTGTCATCTGGAACTCAGAAATGGGACCAGGCTCAACCCACCTATTTTTGCAAGAGGAGAGAAATCTGATCATGAATCTGGGTCAGTAACCTTCCTGGACTCAGGAATGCATTAACAGAATGGGGCAGCACCACATCCACATGGGCAATGTGAGCTGCTCAAGTGCCAAAGGGAGAAACCTGTGCGCTGTTCTGAAACAGGAGCTTTAATGTAGTACAAAGGATCATTAATTCTCATTGTCTTGGGAGTGAGAGAGAGGAGGGAAGTAGAAATTTGGTAAAAAACGTGTTTACAATCAGCAGAGCATGGAGGCTTCACTCTTTGATGAAGAGCTCTCACTTCCAGGTATCTAAAGACTTTATTCTGGTACAGAGAAGGGTGGCCAGGCAGGGGGGCAGTCCCAGCTCCAGGTCAGCAGCGTATTCCCATCCCAATGGCCATGAATGTCCCAAAGGTCCCACCGCTCTGCATCATTGTTTTGCCAACTCCACCCATCAGCTCTCGTCCTCTCATGCCAATCCTGGGACAAAGAAAACCACAGGAATTACATCAAAGCTGAAACCTGGCAGAACAGAACACTCAGAAAACATATGAGACAGCAGCTCGTGGCTGTGAACACTCCTTCAGTCTAAACCTGTGCAGTGGTCCCTCTCCTGCCTGCCCAGGCAATGGATGTGCTGCTCTGTGCTTGGGCTGCTGCAGGGGCTCCTGGAGACCCCCCCCAATGGCCCAGGGACATTTTTTCCTGCAGTGGAACCCTCTGGGCCATACCAACTAACAGGAACAGCTTTACCTCTTAGTATTTTACCTCTTGGTCTTCACCACCCTTAATATGGGGGGGAAAAAATCCCACTGTCCAAGTATTTGACTTGCCAGAGCACAAGGAGAGGTATCTCAGCTGTGGTACTGCCACCCTGAATGGATGCAGTGGCTGTTTTTAATAGCACCAACTTAAAACTAACTTCCAATTTACTACCGACTCTCTAATATGTGAGAAACCTGAAAGGCCTAGAAGTGTCCAGAGGTGTTTCTGTTCTGCAGTTCTTGCTTACCTGAGGTCAGACTGAAACAAAAAGAACCGCCTCAGCAAGCTCTTGTGATATTTGGCTTTTAAGCACTGCAGTGGCTGTAGAGCCTAAGGAATTTCATGCACTTGATTATTAAAACAAGACACTTTCCCTCAGAAATGGCACTGCAGAAATACCATAGCTATGTCAGTCAAGCAGGACAGAACCACTGTCACTGCTGCTTCTAAACCCGCTAAATCTTTATCTTCTGCCAGTATTGTACCACTGACAAACACCCTCTGGGAACTCAGAGAGCTCAGGAACTTCACCAGATTAGACTTTTTCTCCATTTTGGCTCACTACCAAACCACTGTGTGTGTTTAATCACAGGTAAAAACCCTCAGGCACAGAGTTCTGCAAAGTATGAAAGAGCTGAACCCAGTGATTCCTTTTCACGGGCACTGTGCAAAGCCAGTCAAGTGAACAGTGCCAGGGCTGAACCTGAGCAGCGAGCACAGTTTGCTTTCGTGCTGGTGAGCCCCAGGGGAAGGTGGAATATTGTCCCTCTCTGCTGCAGAGTGGGACTGTGCCAGTGCCACCCACAGCTCTGCCCACACTCCTACAGTTCAGGGTCAGTTTGGTAACTGCCTCCCTGCAGGGGATGGGACACAAAGCTGCCATGACCCAGAGCTTGCAGAGCACCTCAGGAAGCTTTAGGGCCAAGAGAGCTGCACATGGATCTGCACAGACTATCACAGAGTCATCAAGTTTGGAAGAGACCTCTAAGATCATCAAGTCCAACCATTAACCTGTCACTGCTATAATCCCTAAACCCCAAACCATATCCTCCAGCACCAGATCCAGACACCTCTTAAACACCTCTAGGGACTGTGACTCCACCACCTCCCTGGGCAATTCTCTATGCCTGAACACCCTGACAGTGAAAACATTACTCCTACAATCTCCTCTGACTGCCCTGTCTCAGCTCAAGGCCATTCCCCCGTCCTCTCCCTGCAGCCAGGGCAGGACAGCCACCCCCCACCTCTCTCCAGCCCTGTCAGGGAGTTGCAGAGAGCCATGAGGTCACCCCTGAGCCTCTTCTCCAGGCTAACCAACCCTAACTCCCTCAGCCCTCCCTCATACAACATGTGTTCTAGATCAGAATTCATCCAGCTCCTCCTGCAGTTGATTCTGCACAGCCTCAGGTTCCCAGCCAACCTCCCTTAGAACACTGACAGAAAGTGCAGGTTTAGGGAGTTTAGAATCAGCAGTGACAGTGGTTCGGTCCTACTTGACTGACACAGCCATGGTACTTCTGCTGTGACAGTTTTGAGAGAAAATCTCATGTTTTAAGAATCAAAGGTGTGTGAAATTGCAAACTCTTAGCACAGAGGTGACCCAGAGGTGATCCTGAGGTAACCCCACAGCTGAGGCCATGCCAGCACCTGACCCACTAGTCTGAGCCCAGGGCTGACTGCAGTGCAGCTGATGTGGAGTCGAAGTGCCACCCTCAGGATGGCACAGGACCAGACCTGTGCCTCCCCCTCCCACTCCCCCAGCAGGACCTGCGGCCCTGCCACCCATCCCTGGGAGCTGTGTCCTTGGCATACCTGAGGCAGGAAAACGTGCCGAACAGAGCTCCTGCAGCCATGCCCACGGCAAAGCCCATCACGAAACCCATCTTTATCCTGTCAAAGCAGCTAGGCTGCGATTGCCCATAGGGGCCCACGGTCACAGGCATCTGGAAGGGAAAGGACAAACCCACAAGGATTTACTGCTCTGTCTCACAGCCTTCTATAACGGCACCGAGCCGGAGAGCCGGCCCGGAGTGTGTGTGCAGGGCCGGAGGCTGTGCTGCCTTCCCGGCTTGCTTCCTTGCCTGCCGCGTAGGAAGGACAGG